TAGACTATTTTTTAGAGGAGTTTTAGGTTGAGAGCAAAATTGAGCAGAAAATACAGTTACCATATACCCCTTCCCCAACAAAGGCACAGCTTCCCCCACTATCAACACCTAGCACATCATAATCGCCCAAAGACCATAGTTTATATTAGGGTTCAGTCTTGGCATTGTACATTTGATGGTTTGACAAAGAAATCCACTATTAAAGTACCATACAGAACAGTTTTAACTGTTCTAAAAATTCTCAGTACCCCACCTATCCATCCCTCCTCACCCTTAGCCCCTGGAAACCATTGATCTTTTCACTGTCTTCATAGTTTTGCCTTTTCCAGAATGTTAAATAACTGGAATCATATAGTATGCGGTCATTTTATTTTGTTGTTTGTTTTTCCCAAATTTTAAGAGAAAGTTTATTTAGAAAGTTACAGAGGTAGTAGAAGTGAGCCAACTGTAGGCTCAGGAAACAAGTGACAGAGGCAGAAGAAGGGCCCTTGGAGCTTAGAGAGGCAAAGGTAACAGGCCTGGAGGGACAAAGTGGGAAGGGAAAGGCACAGGTGTGCTCAGAAAGGGAGAGCACCAGCATTCGGTCATTTTAGGTTGGCTTCTTTCACTTCCTAATGTCATTTACGTTTCCTCCCGTAAAGGCTTGGTGGCTCATTTTTTCTTAGTGCTGGATAGTATTCCCTTGTTTGGATGTGCCACTGTTTATTCAGCCACCTACTTATGGACATCTTGGTTGCTTCCAAATTTGGGAATTATCAATAAAGCTGCCACAAAAATCTATGTGCAAGTTTTTGTGTTGACATAAGTTTTCAGCTCTTTTGAGTAAATATCAAAGGGTGCAATTCCTGGATCATATGGTAAGAGTATGTTTAGTTTTTTTTATTATTAATTAAACCTTTATTGTTCAGATTATTACATTTCTTCCTCTTTTTACCCCCCATAACGCCCCTCCACCCAGTTCCCACCCCATGCTCTGCCTTCACTCCCCACCCACTGTCCTCATCCATAGGTGCACGATTTTTGTCCGTTCTCTTCCCGCATCTCCCTCACTCCTTTCCCGCTCCAAGAATAGTCAGTCCACTCCCTTTCTATGCCCCTGATTCTATTATAATCCTGTTCATTCTGTTCATCAGATTATTCACTCGATTTTCAGATTCACTTGTTAATAGATGTGTATTTGTTGTTCATAATTTGTATCTTTACCTTTTTCTTCTTCTTCCTCTTCTTAAAGGATACCTTTCAGCATTTCATATAATACTGGTTTGGTGGTGATGAGCTCCTTTAGCTTTTCCTTATCTGTGAAGCTCTTTATCTGACCTTCAATTCTGAATGATAGCTTTGCTGGATAAAGTAATCTTGGTTGTAGGTTCTTGGCATTCATCACTTTGAATATTTCTTGCCACTCCCTTCTGGCCTGCATAGTTTCTGTTGAGAAATCAGCTGACATTCGTATAGGTACTCCCTTGTAGGTGACTTACTTTCTCTTGCTGCTTTTAAGATTCTCTCTTTGTCTTTTGCTCTTGGCATTTTAATTATGATGTGTCTTGGTGTGGCCCTCTTTGGATTCCTTTTGTTTGGGGTTCTCTGCGCTTCCTGGACTTATAAGTCTATTTCTTTCACCAGGCAGGGGAAGTTTTCTGTCATTTCTTCAAATAGGTTTTCAATATCTTGCTCTCTCTCTTCTTCTGGCACCCCTATAATTCGGATGTTAGGTACACTTGAAGTTGTCCCAGAGGCTCCTTACACTATCTTCACATTTTTGGATTCTTTTTTCATTTTGCTTTTCCGGTCGGGTGTTTTTTGCTTCTTTGTATTTCAAATCGTTGACTTGATTCTTACGATTCTCTAGTCTGCTGTTGGGAGTCTGTATAATATTCTTTATTTCAGTCAGTGTATGCCTAATTTCTAGTTGGTCCTTTATCACAACCTCGAGGGTCTCATTAGATTTCTTGTAGGTCTCATTAAGTTTATCGGCAGTTTTTAGACAGTTCTTTAAAGACCTTAAAAGTGTGGTTTTGAACTCTATATCCAGTAGTTTGCTTTCCTCCATTTCTGTCATTTGTGTCCTTTTTCTTTGTCTCTGCATTTTTTATGCTCCCCTGTGTTGATACAGTGGTTTTCTGTGCTAAGTGTCCTCTAGGGCCCAGTGGTTCAGCCTCCCCAATTACCTGAGGAGGACACTCTTGGTGCACCCCCTTGTGGGCTTTGTGCACAGTCTTGTTGTAGTTAAGCCTTGATTGTTGTAGGTATCACTGGGAGGAATTGACCTGCAGGCCAATTGGCTGTGAGAATCAGCTGTGTCTGCAGTGGGAGAACTTCTGTGCTGGAGATACCCTTATTGGGCAAGACTTGCTTCAGTGGGGCTTTGGTGCTCACTGAGTCTGCCCCCTGAGTGTGTCCTTTATGGTCCCACTCTAACCTCTGGGCTTCCTGGCTCCTGGATCTCTAGGGAGGTGCTAATCTAGCCTCTGCCTTAGGCTATCCAGCAAAAGCCTCCCTGCAGGGCTTGGGCGGGGCGGGTCCCATGGGATCAACAGGGTGGGGCTAGCAGTTATGGCTGCTCTCAGAGGCCCTACTTCTCAGTGTCCTGGCAATTGCTGCAAGCCCCTCCGAGAGAAAGCTGCCCTCGAGTTCTGACCAATGCCAGACAGTCCTGCTTCTCCCGTAGTGAGTCTGGGTCCCCAGAGACTCGCCCGGAACTGGAGCTCAAAGCCTGAGACTCCCTCCTGATTGAAAACGACAACCATGCCCTCAGCCGCCAGTCTGCTCCGTGTGCGCCTCTGTACCTTAGTATTTTACTTCCGCACTGTGCCTCCTCTGAGTCTTGGTAAGCTTTTCTCTTTCCTTCTAGTTGTAGAATTTCCACTCAGCCAGCCTTCCTGTGGTTCTGGATGATGTCTGTTTTGTCTTTTAGTTGTATTTTTGAAGTGGTTGTTCGAGGCAGCAAACTCCGGTGTTTACCTATGCCGCCATCTTGGTTTCTCCAAGAGTATGTTTAGTTTTGTAAGCAACAGCCAAGCAATCTCTATGCCATTTTGCATTCCTATCAGCAGTGAATGAAAGTTCCTGTTGCTCCACATCCTTGCCAGCATTTGGTGTTATCAGTGTTTTGGATTTTTGCCATTCTAACAGGTGTGTATTGGTACCTCGTTTTTGTTTTCAGTTCCCCAGATATATATGATATTGGGCATCTTTTCATATGCTTATTTGTCATCTGTATATCTTTGATGAGGTGCCTGCTCAGGTCTTTCGTCCATTTTGTAATTGGGTTATTCATTTTATTGTTGACCTTTAAGAGTTCTTGGTATATTTTAGATAATTGTCCTTTATCAGATAGGTCTTGCAAATGTTTTCTCCTAGTCTGTGGCTTGTATTCTCATTCTTTTGATCTCTGTCCTTTTAATAGGAAGTTTTACACCAGTTTCACCTCCCCTGGGACATCTTTTTGTTGTTGTGAATTCTCACCCAAGGGTATATTTTCCATTGATTTTTAGAGAGAAGGGGAGAGGAGAGACAGAGAGAAATATCGATGTGAGAGAGACATATCCATTGGGGCCGGGGATCGAGCCTGTAACTGAGGTACATGTCCTTGACCAGAATCAAACCTGTGACCCTTCAGTCTGTGTGCAGATACTCTATCCACTGAGTCAAACCAACCAGGCTGTGATATCTTTGTCACAGCCACTTTCCTCATTTATGTTGGTAAGTGTGCCTTCACCAAGCTGTGGCTGCATATCAGCCTCTTGAACTGCATTAGTGTCAACATTCTCACAGGTCTTTCCATTTATGTTCAGTTTGAATTTCAGCCCAGCATTATCACCTTTTGAAACAGGAATTTTAGGTGAACATAGGGAGGTTTAGGGAATTTTTAGAATTGGGGTCCATGGAAAAAACGCACGTAGGGCTACAGAAGGGGAGAAGGTCCATTTCCTTAACACAAGGAAGCCAGGTGCAGTTACATCTCCATAAGACAAGGGAGCAGCAACAGTTGTATTTACGTAAGACAAGGAAGCAGCAACGGGTATATTTCCATAAGACAAGGGAACTGGAAGTAGCCAAAATATCTGTATTTACAAAATAAACAAGGAAGAAAGCCCAGAAGGAATAGGAAGACCATGAGGGGGGAGGGCCTCAGGAGTCACTACAGTAACCCATTGGAAAGGGAATATTGACCAATCAGAAGGGATGTCAGGACACAGGAACTACAGCCTTTATAAACCATGGAAACGGGAAGTTGGTGGGACCCTTTCCCCTTCCCGATGAGGGACTCTTCCCCTCTCCCCACGAGCGAGTCTGTAGTTTTCTCTGTATATGAAACACTAATATGCAAATAGACCAAACAGCAGAACAGCTGGTCACTATGACATGGGTGTGTGCGGAATGTGGCAGGCGTCGGCAGCAGGTGGCAGAGCGTGGAACATGGCAGGCGTCAGCCGCAACGGGATGGTGGAGCAGGCGAGCGGGGGCACCAGACCAAGGCAGGGTGCCAGTTGTCATCAGGGAGAGCCTCTGGTGGTTACTGAAAATACTTTGCTCTCATGCGCCACGGTCCCATTGTTCAGGGCTGTCAATGTTTGCCAGTGGCAGCTGCTGGTCCTGATCACCCCTGAGGGCTTCTCCACCTCCCCCTGCTCCTGAGGGGTGATTGAGGTAGTAGCCACCACTTGCACCCACTGATGGAGCTGGCCCCGTTTGCACCCGTTGCTGGTGCCAGCCCCAGTTGCTCCACACTGTCAGCTGGTGCGAGTGGGGCCGACACTGTCAGCGTGTGGGACTGTTGACAGGAGTGGGGCTGCCAGCAGACAGGGGACCGGGGGCTGCAGTGGGAGGGGTCGGGTGGGGGCACAAGGGATGGGCTGAGATCTGCCCCTGTGCCCATCGCAGCCTCATGACCCACAGTTCCTTTCAATGTGCATAAATTCATGCACTGGGCCTCTAGTTCTTCAATCTCCACCTTTGCTATACTACCCTCTGTCCTTGGATTCATTCTTTGACTCTGGTGGACAAGGACAAAGATTCCAGGTTCCAGTCCAAAAATTCCGTTTCACTTTCATTTCTTAATTGCATTTTCATTTTTGTTAGTGAGTTTCCTTTTTCAATTACCCAATTTTATAAGATGGTTTATCACTGAGAAACAAGCAGCCGATGCCCCTACACTCTTTATTGTCTGGGTGAATAACAGACAGATGTGCAGGGTCCAACCGTTAACAGACTGAAATAAGTGACATCACTGGTCATGGTCTTGCTGTGCATCTTATTTACATGGAGATTTGTGGACTGAAGAGCTAGCAGCGAGGTTTATACTTTATGCAGTTGCTCAGTTACCATGGTAACAAGTCCAAACCATTTTCAGGGGGAATGTGTTATTTAATAAGCTATTGCGGCCACAATTAATGCATGACAGACTGATGCAAGGCGAGGCCTGCCTCAAACTATTTTTCCTCAGTTGTAACTATTCGGGGCTGGGGGTGGGGGGACGATACTGGCAACTAAATGCTCTTTTTTTTCTTTTCAAACAGAATATGGCAAAAGGAAGTCTTGATGGAGTGGGGGAGGGGAGACAGCTTCTTATCTGATGGGAGCGAACAGCGAAGTTGGAGGCAGCAGGGACCCCTAGAGTCTGGTGTGGGGCCTTCGTTGTATCCAGTCAGCGATGGCAGGGATGGCTTGGACTTTCTTCCGTAATGCCACCAGCCTGGGATGGATGTCCAACAAGTCAGGTTTAAAGACCAAAAGGGTAGTGCTGCAAATTTCCCAGTAGAAATCTGCCCAAGTTACCTGATTTAAAGGAAACAGAAATTTCCATTTGAATGTAAAAGGCATAACTAACTTCTTAATCTAAAGGGTAGTTTCTTTTTAATTCAAAGTAATCTTTTGTTATTACAAAAGTGGAATGTGTGTGAGACAGTATAGGGGTCACATCTGAACTCCATCTTAGAGGCCTGACTGTGACTTCTTGGTTTCAGTAAAATTCTGTAGTTAAAATTAACCTGACCACATCCTTAAAGGAATGATTGTACGACGATAACATCCTTTCTTAACATCAGATTCTGCAAAGTAGTTGTTTTGTCAATTAAATGGTAACTAGAATGTTTGTTCAAGCATTATTATGGGCCCACTGACCATGGAAAACATCCTGTGGCCCGGTGGGCGTGGTCAGTGGTTGAGCATCGACCTATGAACCAGGCAGTCACATTGATTCCCAGTCAGGGCACATGCCCGGGTTGCAGGCTCGATCCCCAGTAGGGGGACGTGCATCTCTCTCATCATTGATGTTTCTAGCTCTCCCTCTCCCTTGCTCTCTGAAATCAGTAAAAATATATTTTAAAAAAGAAAACATCCTATGACTACCCCAGGATCAACTGCCACCAGATGAACTTTGTGGGACAACTGACCTCATCCTCATTCCCAAGTCCTACACCCATGCCAAAGTAAGCCAACTACAAGAACTTCTCGTTTTCGGATCGAATCCCTTGTGCATAAGCCCTTTTCAATAAACTCCGTCCGCTTGATCTTGTACTGAGTTCAGTGCTCTTTTCTATGAAATTGAGACTCGAGAATCTGGCATTCAAGGTCCAGTAACGCATGTATGATAGAAATTACAAATAACACCTTATTCCCAACACCATATTCCCAACACTCGGAGGTTACTCCTGTGTATAAGGTGGTATTCTGTGTGTGTGTGCGTTTTTAGTAAGATGAGATCTTACAGTACATACTCTTGTAACTTGATTAATCTTCATCTCTCTGACTATATTTTCATCTTATCTAATCCACAATCAATACTTTTCCATCTGTTCCAAAATGTTCTTCATAGGACAAAGCAGAATCCATTTCAGGACCATGCATTTCATCTGGTTGTGTTCTTTAACTCTCTTTAATTCAGAATAGCACCCTTACTCCCTCTTTATGGGTAACATTTTTTTCAATAAGTTTTTATGTCTTTGGTTTATCTTCACAAATAAATAAAGATATATATACACACACACACACATATATATATATACATATTTATATATATATTTATATATATATTTACTTGTATTTTTTAAGATGTAAAACATACTCACAGAGTTACCAATGAACCACTCTTTTTCCCCTAAGTATGTATCCAAATCTTGTAGAAGATGAGGTGCATCATATATAAGTAGCTCATTAAACATCTGCTCCTAAAAGAGGGAGAAAAAGATCACTTTAAGGAAAATAGGAAGAAAAATAAATAGTATATGATCTGAAAGGGAAGTAGATTTTTCCTTCTTTAGTTTTTCCATATGAGGTCAAAGAGAAGTAGCTATATGGTGTTGTTTTTAAAATGTATGACATTACGAAGATTCACATCTAATTCCCAATAGATCTAGTCATTCCTTTATTACACGGATCAAAAAAATAAATACTTTTGTTACCAGTTCTTATAGTTTCTTTCTATATGATGACTAAATATTTCATCCATAAAATCTTTTCATGATTCCTATTTAATTTTTATTAATAGAAATGATTCTACTATGTTTTTACATTTCCAAAATTCCCATTTTCTTAGCCTCACTCTCTTTAAAGTTAAATAACATAACTGAAGGTAAAGAAATTAATTTTGTTTTGTAAGGCTAGATTTCTCCAGTTTGACAGTCTTTCATTCACCTGTACACTTAACAAAACTAATCCATAATGAATCATATGCTCGTGGGCCTTTATGGATTTTTTCTCTTTGGCTTGATATTGTGCCTTAGTATAGTAGGCGATTTGTCTGCCTTGAATATCATCTACAAAACCCACCATCTAGGTACCCTGCCGGAGTCCATTCATTGTCTTCACTAGCTGAGTTTAGACAGAGACTCCCCAAAAGCTAGTAACCTTTGAAGTTCTAGCAAAGGTCAGAACTGTGCACCACCCAGTTAATTTAGGTAATAATAGTTGAAGCATCCCCACCTTAGTTCCCTTAATTCCTTAGATACTTATGTAGATCCTTGTTGATTATTGTTAATCAGATACTCTGCCTACTCCCAGAAATCTATTGATGAGCTAATCAGATACTTTGTCTATTCCTTGAAATTGTTTGCTGATCTGTGTGTCATTTAAACCTCCTTACCCTAAGGGCTACTCCAGATCAATAAAAGATTGGAGCAGCCTGAGCAGTGGTGGAAGTCCTTCGGGACTTGCTCGCCTGGTCCCCCAATATTGCAAAATTATCTCGTGTCTTTTTCTCTCATTTGTTGTGCGGCTCCTCTTTCAGATACCGAACCTTACTCCACGCAGAATGTGGAGGGAGTCTTACTCGACAGTACCCCTTTTTGCTACATTATGTAAGGTAATATGACAAACCAAATAAGAGTCTTAGAAAAAAATTAACAGATATATGCATTTAAAAAATTATCTTTGTGTTTTTACTTGAATCTCTGAAGACCAGATAAGTTATGGCCTATTTCTTGGTAAGAAGTTTACATGTGAAAATTTGGGTTGATTTGCATACTGGATAGAAAATGTCAGTCAAACTAAAAATATTATTAAAAGTGTATATAATTTGTAATATCCATAAATGATCTACACAGGCATACCTTGTCTGTTGCACAACACTTTGTTGCTCTTTGCACATAGTATGTTTTTTTTACAAATTGAAGGCTCATGGCAACCCTGTGTTGAATAAGCCCATGGTGTCATTTTTCCAATAGTATTTGCTCACTTCACGTCTGTGTCAAGTTTGATAATTCTTCCAACATTTTAAACTTTTCCATTATTATCATATTTGATATGGTGATATCAGTGATCCTTGATGCTACTATTGTGCTTGTTTGGGGGTGTCTGGAACTGCGTCCATATAAGATGACAAGCTTAATTGATAAATGTTGTGTGTCCTGACTGCTTCACCAACCAGCTCTTCCCCAGTCTCTCTCCCTCTTCTGGGGCCTCCCTCTTCCCTGAGACACAATAATATTGAAATTAGGCCAATTAATAACCCTACGATGGCCTCTAAAACTTTAGGTGAAGAGTCAATTGATATGGCAAACTTCATTGTTGGCTCTCATTTTTTTTTAAATGTTTTTACTGGAGAGAGAGAGAGACAGACAGACAGACAGACAGACATCAATTGGTTGCCTCCCACGCACACTGACTGGGGATGGAACCCGCAACCTGGGCATGTGCCCTGACCAGGAATGGAACTGGCGAGCTTTCGGTGCACAAGACAAAGCTCAACCAACTGAGCCACATCAGCCAGGGCTCATTGTTGTCTCATTGTAAGAAAATGCCACAGCCAGCCCAACTTTCAATAACCATTACCCTGATCAGTCAGCAGCCATCAACATCAAGGCAAGACCCTCCACCAACAGAAGATTATGACTCACTGAAGGCTCAGATGATGGTTAGCAACTTTTAGCAATAAAGTATTTTTTAATCAAGGTATGTACATTGTTTTTTTAGACATAATGCTATTGTACACTTAATAGACTACAGTATGTAAACATAATTTTTATATGTGCTGGAAAACCAAAATATTTGTGACTCTCTTTATTGAGATATTCACTTTATTGCAGTCGTCTGAAACCAAATCCCCAATATCTCTGAGGTAAGCCTGTAATAAAATCCAGCCTTTATTAAGGTAAGTCAGGTGGTGGATAAATACCTTACCAATTTGTTGATTTACTTCCTGGTATCATGACTTAATTAGGTAATATGGATTGCTATAACAGAAGGTCTTATATTTGTAGAGTATAATTTGCAAGAGCATCTATAATAATAAGAGCATAATATGCTAATTAGGCCAGACAGCTGAATGACCTTCCGGACGTCCATCCAGATGACCTTCCAAACAAAGCCGTGGCAGTGGGGGCCGAGGCAGAGGCAGTTAGGGGTGATCAGGCAGGCAGAGTGGTTAGGGGCAATCATGTAGGCAGGCATTAATATTTTTAATAATAAAAATATTATTTAAAGTGTATATAATTTGTAATATCCATAAATGATCTACACAGGCATACCTTGTCTGTTGCACAACACTTTATTGCTCTTTGCAGATAGTATGGGGCGATCAAGCAGGCAGGCAAGCAGTTGGGGGTGATCAGGCAGGCAGGCAGAGTGGTTAGAGGTGATCAGACAGGCAGGCGAGTTGTTAGGATCAATCAGGTAGGCAGGTAAGTAGTTAGGGGCGATCAGGCAGACAGGCAGAGGGGTTAAGGGGATCAGGCAGGCAGGCAGTGAGCAGTTAGGAGCCAGCGGTCCTGGATTGCGAGAGGGTGCAGGCTGGGCTGATGGAGCCCCCTACCCGTGCATGAATTTTGTGCACCGGGCCTCTAGTCATTACATATTTATATATATATATTTTTTTTTCCTGATTTTACCAACTAAAGGTGGATATCTTATCATTATTTTGATTTTATATTCTATACTGGTCTATACCACTTTGGTACATAAAGTTCTCTCTCTGTGGTTAATATATCCATAGTTTTAAATAAGAGTGTGAGTTCTTCTGCCCCTTACAGAATTCCTGAGCTGACGCAATGGGCCCAGAGCTGTGTGGCAGGCACTTCCTGTAGCTCAGCACAACTCAGCATCAGTTGGGAAGGTGAATAGCTAGAAACCGGAGGGAGTTAAACAGAGTGAGATGTAACTGCTGGACAGCTTTCCTAAAACTCCTGAATCTCACCTGGGTAATTTTGTTACTTTCTCTATTGTGCATGTCCACAAGTAAGGTATACCAATGCTTGTGTATATGCAGTGCCAAATAAAAATCTTATCTGTGCTATTGACTTCTCCTTTAGCCCAGGTTCTCTTTATGTGTTTGGTCATCTTAGTCTAATGAATAACCAAACAGCATAATCATTAGTATTTTTTAAAGTTATTTTAAATAATACTCACCAAAATAACAAAGAAGATGAACTTTGATCACACATCGTAGGTGTGCACTTTCCCAGGTGTGCACTTTTAAAAATGCATTTTCTAATAGATCCTAGATAGCCACTCTTATATTTGGTGGACTCTGTAATGTCCTACTGCCTCCTCCAGGGAGTTATAAAGCAGTGTTTCTTCACCCTGAGAAGTCATTGCTGTAGTAGTCTATCAAATGGCTTTTAGAGGAATTAGAGAGGATTGTATATTTCACCAAAGCATTATTTTTAAATCCACACTATCAAAACCATTGTGTATTGGAAATGGGCCACAGTATTCCTTCACTCCTCCTAGTCCTCCATCTGCCCCCTGCCCCTGTTCTCCAGATGAGGAAATGGAAACACATTGCATAACCAAGAAATGCTAGTGGTAGGATCAAGCAAGGATTATCAGGGTGACCAATGTCCAGATACATATTTTGTCTTTTAAATTAAATTTAAATTAATTTTTTTTAAATTGTAAATTGAATTACCAACAACCAGTGCTAAAACATTTGTAATTATGTGTATTTGATAGGTTTTTTAAAGCACATGGAATAAGAGAACTATCTTCATCATCCATCTGCAATATTCTGCTGTTGAAAATTTTATGTGACCACAAGGTGGCAGCAGTACAACTCACTACAAGGAAACTAGGGATGAAATACAAAAGAACTATGCAGTTTTCATTGTATACTAGCCAGGGTCTGCTTATTAGTCAGACAGTCTCTAGCTATTTGCAATATTTCTGAAAAATGTTCTCCCTTCATATAATTTATTCATGAGCTTGGATAGCATCCTGTGAAAATGTTTTTTGAGGTAGGCGGTAAGAACATTGTTATTCTCACACAAAAGATAACCTTACCATAAACACTCAAAGAACATTTTCCTCTGTGACTTGGCCACAGAAGGGTACCAAATAGAGAAAGAGATAAGGGCAATCCCATAAGTTGACAGACTGCCAATCAGTGGGGTCTTTGTTATGTGGAACAAAAAGCTTTAGAGGAAAAAAGTCACATAGAAAAGGTTGGTAATAAGATTGGATTCAGACTTCTCAACAGCTAGGAGACCATAGATAAATGTTTTTCAAATACTAAAGAAAAATTACAAGAATTTTATATCCAGCCAAAGTTTGAATCAAGTATCAAGATGAAATAAAAACATTTTTAGACAAATTAGGCCCCAAACTTTTCCCTATGCTCAGTAAGCTATTAGAGGATTGCTCCACAAAAACAAGGACAGAAACCAGGAGAATGGGCCCAGAAAAGCACTGAATGAAGCATCCAAGATGATAAAGATCTCAGGATGGGACAACTGTGCACTGGGTGTCTAGGGCAACCAAACCAGAGACACAAAAGAGGGACATATCCATACCGTCTGCTGCCATATCTCCTGTCATCAAGCCTTCATTTTCATTTTTGGAATGGGAATATGTGCCCCAAATAAACAAAGGAGGAAATAAAGACAGAGGATGGCATCCAAGAGACAGGACCCCAACTCAAAAGGAAGACAACACTGGGATGGCAGTGAAGGGTAAGTACGACAGCCGTGCAGAAAACCTAGTCAGAGGACAATGGGAGGTTCTGGCCAGATATCGACGAGAAAATAATGGGAATAATGGATTATTATGTCATTGACACACACTGTGGAAAACTGTATTAGTAGGTTATAGGATAGTGTGGGAAGGTTTAACAAGAATAAAGCAAATGCAAAAAGACAATTACTAACTTTGAAGAGGAAAAGGGAGAAAGGAAATATTATCAAAGTGTACTATGGCCTGGCCAGCATGGGTCAGTGGTTGAGCGTCGACCTACGAACCAGGAGGTCACTGTTCAATTACTGGTCAGGGCACATTCCCAGGTTGTGGGCTCAGTCCCCAGTAGGGGGTGTGCAGGAGGTGGCCAATCAGTGATTCTCTCTCATCATTGATGTTTCTATCTCTCTCTCCCTTTCTGAAATCAATAAAAAATATTTTTCAAAAAACTATACCGCAATGCACAGTTTTGTATAATGTTTACATGGGGATACTAATGCAGTCACCAAATACTGATTAACAAAATGTTTTTTATTATGATTATATTGGGAGTTTACAGGAAGCAGAGAGGATGATTATGTAAGAGTTAAATTATTATTCTTTAAAATATATTTTTATTGATTTCAGAGAGGAAGGAGAGGGAGAGGGAGAGAGAGATAGAAACATCAACGATGAGAGAGAATCATTGATTGACTGCCTCCTGCATGCCCCACAATGGGGATCAAACCTGCAACCCAGGCATATGACCTGACCTGGAAACAATGGTGACCACATGGTTCATAGGTTGACACTCAACCACTGAGCACACTGGCTGGGTTAAGAGTTAAATTCTTATTACTGTACTATACTAAGATGTCCATAGAATCTAAAATGAGTCAAAGTAAGCCATTTTTATATATCCTACTAGAGGCCCGGTGCACAAAAATTTATGCACTCAGGGCGGGGGGGGGGGGGGTCCCTCAGCCCAGCCTATGCCCTCTTGCAGTGTGGGACCCCTCAGAGGATGTGCACCCCAGTGGGGACCCTCACTCCTTGGAGATTTTGCCAGCCTGGGTGAGGGGCTGATGGCTGTTTTCAGGCTGGCCACACCCCCTTTAGGGTGGGAGGTCCCCACTGGGGTGCCTGGTCAGTCTGGGTGAGGGGCTGAGGGCCATTTTCAGGCTGGCCGAGCACCCTGGCGACGTAAGCTCCCAGTCTCTCCTTTTTTCTTTTTATTCTGGGATTTATTTACCTTCTATAATTGAAACTTTGTTGCCTTTAGCGGAGGCCTGCAGAAAGCTTGGCTTCCTCCATTGCCAGGGGCAACCCACTCCTGCTCGCTCCAGCTCCGTGGCCACGGCTGGCTGAAAGCAGGTATCTGGGGTTTGTTTACCTTCTATAATTGAAACTTTGTTGCTTTCAGTGGAGCTCAGAGCTGGGCTGCGGCAGTCGGGGAACCTTGGCTTCCTCCATCACTGGAGCGAGCAAGCCTCCTGCTCGCTCCAGCTCCCTGGCTGCTGGCTGCCATCTTGGTTGGGTTAATTTGCATATAGTCGCTCTGATTGGCTGGTGAGCATGGCTTAAGGCATAGCGAAAGTATGGTCAATTTGTATGTTTGTCTTTTATTAGTATAGGATCGATATATGGAGATGTGAAAATCCTAAAGCAACAATTAAAAGGGTTAAAAAGAGGGTTGTATCTTAGGGGTTATTGTGAAAAGGGTAGGGCAGAGAATCGCTGTACTTTGTTTTAAACTTTTTAATATAATTTGACATTTTTAAACTATAGGTTTGTCTAACTCTGGTAAAAAGGGACTTAAAAACGCATCTAACATCATGTTTGACAAAGTGGATCTGATTAATAACAGTAATAGCAAACTGATCACATTACTTTTATATCTTGTTTTTTCTCAGCCCAAGGAAAACGTGACATGAAATCATCCAATGTGTCCACAATAGCATCAACTTGACATTGTTCCAGTTCTGTTTTTCCAGCCAAATCTGTAGAATAGAGAGAGGCCCACAAATATGTTCAACTTAATTTACTATATTAAAACATTAATTTTTTTAGTAGGCAATAGATTCATATAGCTCAAAACAACAGAAAACAGTATCCAATGAAGACTAACTTCCACTCTTGCCCCTATCCATCTTATTTTGCTGTTACCAACTACCATATTTTTTATTAATTTGTTTTATTAATTTCTTTTATATTCTTTCATTGTTTCTGTATGAAAATAAGAGTGATTTTCCCCTCAATATGTGCCTCTCCCATTTGTCCCAGTGATTTTTCCTCACATGTCACTTAAGGGTGTCCTTGCTCTGTTTTCAGCTCCATGGAATTTCCTTCGGTAGAAGTGCCACATTCTATTTACCCTCAGCTGATTAGGTTTGCTTTCAATCTTTCGCTAATACAAGCAAAACCACAATAAATAACCAGTATGTACATTTTCATTTATTTTGCAAAAATAATTATTTTCATTTTTACAGACAGTTTTTGTCTAGAGCATTTGTTCCTAGAAACTATGAGTTTAAAATAATAGAGGTGAGGTTTTTTTCTTTTATTGATCATCATTTTGCTAAGAAATCATTGGTCTTTCTAAATATTTTCTCCCTGGTGTCAATTTAAAATTCTTCAGTGTAAAAGCATTCTAAAATAGATTGCTTTTATACAATTGTGTATATTTACTAAAAATCAAGGAACAGTATACTGACAGTGAGTAAATTGTACACAAATCACACCTCAGCAAGCTGTTAAAGGGAAAGAAAGAAATGCCTTAGTGATTTAGGGTCCTTCTGTAAACTAGGGTCCTTCTGTGTGTGTGGTATTGGCACCGTTGTAATAACCTGGTTATTATTTAACAGGGAAGGAGTAAAGGGGAGACCAGATAATATAGGCATGCCATTTATACAGCTTTGGCAAAAAGCTACAGTTTAACACTCTTCAAGTCTGTTTCCTACTGATTGATGGGGGAAGGGGCTGGACAAAGGCAGTTTAGACACATGCCCAGTAATATCTGAGTAACGTAGAAAGGTGCCTGGAAAAACCAAGATGGTGGCATAGGTAAACACTGGAAATTGCTGCCTCGCACAACCACTTCAAAAATACAACTAAAAGACAAAACGGACATTATCCAGAACCACAGGAAGGCTGGCTGAGTGGAAATTCTACAACTAGAAGGAAAGAGTAAAGCACACTGAGACTCAGAGGAGGTGTGGAAGTAAAGTGCAGAGGTATGGAGGCGCACTTGGAAAGGGCTGGCAACTGAGGACGCGGTTGTCTTTTTCAATCAGGAGGGCGTCTCAAGCTCCTGACTGCTCTGAACTCCAGTTCTGGGTGAGCCTCTGGGGACCCAGATTCATGGGGGGAGAAACTGGACTGTCTGGCATCGGTCGGAACTCGAGGGCGGCTTTCTCTCAGAGGTGCTTGGAGCGATTACTGTGGGCCACTGACATCCGGGACCTCTTAGGGCAGGGTTGAGGATCAGCCATAGCTGTTTGCTCTGCCCTATTGATTCCCCGAGACTCTACCCGACCCAAGCTGTGCACAGAGGCTTTTGCATATGAATGACCAGGCCCTTTGCAATCTAAAATTACTTAACAAACTGCAGCTGGGTCAGAGAGACCCAGAACATCCAAAAGGCCCAAGGCCCCACAGCAGCTGCATTGCTTCACAGCTGGGCCTCATCTGGGCACTTCCAAACCCCCAAAAAGGAAGGGGAATCTGCAGATCTCTTCGTAGCTCCTGCTGGGTAGCCTCAGGCAGAGGCTAAATTAGCACCTCCTTAGAGGTTGAAGTGCCAGTGTACCCAGTGGTCAGAGTGGGACCATCCAGATAACAACTTCTCAGATCCATAAGGGACACACTCAGGGGACAGACTCATTGAGCTCCAAAGCACCATTGAAGCAAGTCTTGCCCCATAAGGGTGTCTCTAGCACAGAAGTTCTCCCACTGCAGACACAGCTAATTCTCACAGCCAATTGGCCTGGAGGTCAATTGCTCCCAGTGATACCAACAACAATCAAGGCTTAAACTGCAACAAGACTACAACAAGATTGTGCACAAAGCCCACAAAGGGGTGTACCAAGAGTGTCCACCTCGGGTAATTGGGGAGGCTGAGCCACTGGGCCCTATAGGACACCTAGCACACAAAGCCACTCTACCAACACAGGGAAGCAGCCAAAATGCAGAGACAAAGAAACAGGTCACAAATGACAGAAATGGAGGAAAGCAAACGACTGGATATAGAGTTCAAAACCACGGTTATAAGGTTTTTATGGAAACTGCCGATAAATTTAGTGAGACCCTGGAGGATATGAAAAAAGACCAACTAGAAATTAAGCATACACTGACTGAAATAAAGAATAATATACAGAGATCCAACAGCAGACTAGAGGATAACAAGAATCAAGTCAAAGATTTGAAATACGAAGAAACAAAAAATACCCAACCGGAAAAGCAAAATGAAAAAAGAACCCAAAAATATGAAGATAGTGTAAGGAGCCTCTGGGACAACTTCAAGCGTACCAACATCCGAATTATGGGGGTGCCAGAATAAGAGAGAAAGCAAGATATTGAAAACCTATTTGAAAAAATAATGACAGAAAACTTCCCCTACCTGGTGAAAGAAATAGACTTACAAGTCCAGGAAGCGCAGAGAACCCCAAACAAAAGGAATCCAAAGAGGACCACACCAAGACACATCATAATTAAAATGCCAAGAGCAAAAGACAAAGAGAGAATCTTAAAAGCAGCAAGAGAAAAATGTCAGTTACCTACAAGGGAGTACCTATACAACTGTTAGCTGATTTCTCAACAGAAACTATGCAGGCCAGAAGGGAGTGGCAAAAAATATTCAAAGTGATGAATAGCAAGAACCTACAATCTAGATTACTTTACCCAGCAAAGCTATCATTCAGAATTGAAGGTCAGATAAAGAGCTTCACAGATAAGGAAAAGCTAAAGGAGTTCATCACCACCAAACCAGTATTATATGAAATGCTGAAAGGTATTCTTTAAGAAGAGGAAGAAGAAGAAAAGGTAAAGATAAAAATTATGAACAACAAATACATATCTATCAACAAGTGAATCTAAAAATCAAGTGAATAAAAAATCTGATGAACAGCGTAAACTGGTGAATATAATAGAACTAGGGGCATAGAAAGGGAGTAGACTGACAATTCTTGGGGGAAAAGAGGGGTGGGGTGCAGGAAGAGACTGGACAAAAATCGGACACATATGGATGAGGACAGTGGGAGGGGTAAGGGCAGAGGGTGGGGTGGGAACAGGGTGGAGGAGAGCTATGGGGGGGGGGAGGGGAGAGGAACAACTGTAATCTGAACAATAAAGATTTAATTAAAAAAAAAAGAAATGACATCCATATTGTGAAGCTTTCTAACCAGATCCCAATCTATTTTTCTATCGGTTTCTCTTTCTACTACTCTACTCTGCAATTTTTTTAAAATTTGTAATTATTTTTATTGATTTCAGAGAGGAAAAGAGATAAAAACATCAATGATGAGAGAGAACCATTGATCGGCTGCCTCCTGCAGGCCCCCTACTGGACATGGAGCTGGAAACCCAGGCATGTGCCCTTGACTGGAATCGAACCTGGGACTCTTCAGTCTGCAGGCCCACACTCTATCCACTGAGCCAAACCAGTTAGAGCAACTCTGCAAATTTAAAGTGCTTTTCATATTCTCTCTGCCTGGAGTGTTCTAGCCCAAAGATTCTCCAAATGAAGTCCATGGACCAGCTGCATCAGTATCATCAAGGAAATTGTTAAAAATGCAAACTTTTGGATCCTACCCCAGGATGATTGAGTCACAATCTCTTAAGTCAAGGCTGAGCATTCTGAGTTTTAATGAGCCTCCATGCTATCCTGATGCCCACACAGTCTGAGAAACACTGCCCAAGTTCAAGTCTTCCTTTTGAAATTCTAGGGATCCTTCAAGCTCAACTCAAATGTCATTTCCACTTCAAAGTCAAACTTTCATAGCCAGAAGGAATCTCCATCTCTTCTAAACTTGCAAAGAATTTCATTTATTGAAATATGTGTTAGTGCAACATAAATTTTATATACACATTATTTTTGTTAAAAAATAAACTCGTTTAATGAATATAGTATATATATATAAAATATAATTTTTTAATTATTATTTTTTTATTTTTATATATATATTTTTTATTTCAGGGAGAAAGGGAGAGGGAGAGAGAGACAGAAACATCAATGATGAGAGAGAATCATGGATCGGCTGCCTCCTGCATGCCCCCTACTGGGGATCTAGCCCACAACCCCAGGCATGTGCCCTTGATTGGAATCAAACCTGGGACCCCTCAGTCCACAGGCCAACGCACTATCCACTGAGCCACACCAGCCAGGACTAATTTTTTTGTCAGCCATCAAAAATCTTAAAACACAATACACATATTACCTGTGTTTTTGGTCAAGTATCTCGCTATTGCTAGGCTCTGGTGAAGATTAAGTCCATCAACTTCCAAAATGGGGATTTTGCCAAATGGAAGAGCTTAAAATAAAAAGAGGAAAGAATCAACTTCCATAATAAAATCAAGTATTACAATACTCCCATTTTTTACTGATAATTGTGGAAACAAGGCATGATTTTAAAGTCATGGAATTCTTGAATATTTATTTTAAAAGAGACATTAAGCATCCTCAAGTGGAATCTTTGCATTTTACAAGTTTTGTTTTGTTTTGTTTTTTTAAATAGAGTTGTTTGTTAGAAGACCTTCTATACAGTTAATGACAGAACCAGGTCAAAAACCCAGTTAACTCTATATTATACCATGCATTATCTTATATACTAGTACTTACGTATGCTTACTACTTAATTTAAAAAATAAAAAACACCTTTTTTTTAAAGCTTCATTAATTTTTGAGGCCTTAATCAGGGATCACATTAATTATTCTTTAAAACCATAGTCTGAGTAATATGGAGAGCTTGACTCACATGTTGAATTATGGTAAGGAATTTAGCAAAATTCTCTTTTTGATGAGGGACTATTTAAAGTATATGGTAAGGCAGCAAGCATATTTGTACAAACATAGGACAGACTCATAGCAGATATCATATTAATATTTAGTCTGTAAGCCCTACTTTGTTTTGTTATCAAACCTATTATATTTTTGTCAGAAAGCAATATATATTATAGAAAGCTTCTAAAATGAAGATAAATAAAAATAGTTCTACTACATAATTACAACCATTTTAGTATTTTATTGCTTTCCCATATATATAGAAAAACAATTATAGTGTATATATGTGGGCTTTTATGCAAAAGATATAAATTTTTATCCTCTTTAAATCACTTTTGTATTCAGTCTCTGTTTTTTGACACCATGTCCTAACTATCATAAACTTTAAGATCCCTTTCAACTCTATAAAAATATTTTTTAAAATATTAATAAAATCCAGCAATTCCTTTTTTCAATAACAATAAAAAGTTAAGGTAAAATAGGGTATGAAGCACTAAAAAAAAATAAATCTAAAAATGTATCGAAAAGCTGACATTTTTAAATGTATTATCTCTACCTCTTGACTTAAGTAATGGTAGAATTAATGTTCACCTATTTTATGTCCACAGAATGAAAAACCCCATATAAAAATTCTGATATTGGAAGAAATTTGTGGACATCAATGGCAAATTTTCATGAAAACAGAAAACATAATATTCTACCCCACCAGAGAAGAATTCTCTGATAACAAAGGGTGGCTTTTAAGGAACTCATGCTTCCCAAAGGCACGTCGCAATACTTACTGTTTACATCCCATTTATCACAGTGTTATTGCTGTCAGCATTATCTAGTACAAGAAGCTCAGGTCATAGTATGAAATTGGCCTGTGTTTCAAAATTGCTAGGGCTGTGAACTTGGGAAAATTACCTAAACTCTGTGTACTTCAGTTATCCCAATTATAGAATAAAAATAATAATATATCCCATGTAGGCATGCTAGATAAATTAAATGCAACAGAGGCTGTAGAGTACCTACCAAGTGCCAGCTAGTCGTCAAGGACCCAATAGTTATTTTCTTGAACTTCATCTTTATGTGATTTTATAATAATCCAGCGATAAATATGTGGATTTTAGGTGTAATTAGTATTTAATATTTCTAGATAACATGGCAAACATCTTACAGAGGATGACTTGCAGCTTATTGTGAACCACACACTGTTGTTTGCTAAATGTAATGATATTTCCAATTCTTCCCCATTGTCCTCAGTGCTAAATTGCATGTTTTGATTGTGTTACCCGACTGATTTGTCCATTTGCTCTTTTCTCTGGTCAAACAGATCCCAGTTTTGTTTTCATATCCACCCCCTCTCATATAGTCACATGCCTCATAGAAATTGATTCCATCCCCAACTTCAGAGGGGGACTGGGTGGTTCTCAGGTTCTCTCCATCCCCTTTGCCAGTGACTGATTCAGAAATGGACATGTGACTCAATTTGTGCCAGCGAGACATGGGGAATTTGCTGAGGGCTTCTGGGAAAGTTTTTCTTTATTCTTCTGGAAACACTTAAGGAGCAGTTCTCTCCCTTACTCTTTCTCATATATCCTCTTAGCATTGCTGTTCAAGGCTGTGTGGCTGGAATTGCAGTAAGCACATGGCTACCAGCCTCATGATACAGCCAACACACAGAGGAGGAAGTGAATAAAGCCATCCTTGGAAACCTGTTCTACTTCTGGATTTTCAGTTTTGTGATACAATTCATTTTTTAAAAAATTATTATTTAAGCCACTTTGAGTCTGGTTTTCTGTTAGAGCAGCACATCTGATCCACTATTAAAACATAGAGATCCATAGCAACTCTAATTGTCAAGAATATTGACTTCAGCTCTACCCAGTTTGGCTCAGTGAATAGAGCGTGAGCCTGCAGACCAAAGGTCCTGGGTTTGATTCCAGTCAAGGGCACGTATCTCAGTTGCAGGCTCCTCCCGGGCCTGGGCCCTGGTTGAGGTCGGTGCAGGAGGCAACCAATCAATGTGTTTCTCTCATATCAATATTTCTCTCTATCTTTCCCTCTCTCTTCCATTGCTTCTAAAAATCAATGGGAAAATATCCTCAGGTGAGCATAAAAAAAAAAAAAAATGACTTCAGTATCCCCATTTCAGCTCTTCTGACAGATTGGTTTATCTTTATATTCTCTTTCTCTGGTGGTTGTATTTTCACCTCAAATAGGAAATTTTTGGGGTCACATAGCATTTATTTAGCTTGCCTGAACTGCTGTTTCTCAATATAAAGCTATGTGAGATTAAAATTCTTTAGTTTTTCATTTCCCTGAAGAAAGAAAACATTCTGGAAAAATATTTTCCCTACATTTTCATCAATTATTATTTGTGCTACTTACTTGGTTTGATTTCAGGCCAATCAGCTTGTTCTATTCTGTGGTCTTCATACTTTATGTCCAAATATGCAAATATGTAACGAATAATTTCTGCTCTCCCCCTCATATTAAAATAAATGAGTTTGTAGCTTGGCATTGTGTAATTCTGGAAAGAGAAAAATGGAGGGATTATTTTTACAGCCCTCTAGAGATGTTCAACATTTTTCTTTGGGGACATTTTGAAAACTTTATGGCATCTTTTGAGATAACGGGAGATATTAAAAGATATTTCAAAACCATAATTATAAATCACTATCCTAGTAATATATGGGATGACTTGAAATAACATCAGGACTCTTTTTAAGAACTAGCTGGAACATTCCAGTGAAATAACCAAATTTAATTTTATTACAAAAAGACTTCTGAGTAAGAGGGTATCTGCCCACCAACCTTCAGAGGATGGAGTCAGAACTTTGCATTTTAAGATATCTTTGTCCTGCCTTTAGTCACTTGTAATAGATGGTGTTTGACATTTGGTTTGTTGTTTGCTTTGTTGACACAGCTGAGTTTGTGAGGACAGTTGGGTATGGATGGAAGGGGCAGGGTACACGCAGCAGAAACATGAGCCAGCCATGTCAACCTCTCACCCCCTCTCTCCCCTCACCCGTGGCTTTTCCCTCTGGGAATCAAAGGCTTAGGGAAACATTGCTCTCTTTTCTTTCTTACTGGTCCATGCTGCTGGCTTTCCTGGGTTGCTTGCACCATATAAACATACCCCCTCTTGGGGACCTCTGTTGGGATGGGACAACGGTAACATATATCTCCATTCCCCCTGTAGAGGAGCAAGGAAGAAAGCAAGCACACTTTCCTTCTATTTCAGAGAGTTTTCTAATACTAGCTCTACTGGCTAGATGCATGTCATTATATCATTTTGTGAGATTTTTATGTTTTGTATAATTTCATTTCCATTGTTTTTTTGTTTGTTTATGTTAATCCTCACCCAAGAATATTTTTTCCATTGATTTTTAGAGAGAGTGGAAGGGAGGGAGGGGAACAGAGAGAGAGAGAGAAACATTGAAGTGAGAAGGACACATCAGTTGGTTGCCTCCAGCATGTGCCCTGACCAGGGGAATGAACCTGCAACCCAGGTATGTGCCCTTGACTGGGAATTGAACCCACAACCCTTTGGTGCATGGGACAACTTTCTATCACTGAGCCACACCAGCCAAAGCTCATTTCCATTGTGTTTAAACAATTAATTATTTTAAGCACTAATAGTAGACTGTATTGTAATTGTATAATAATTAGAAACATTTTCATTTGAAATTCAGTTCTTCCATGTATTTACTGTGTATTTTTGAGCTAACCAACAAAATCTCACTGAATTTTAAATCACACTTTTTATAGAGAAAGATATTAATATGGATTTGGGGATTTAATGAGGTAATACATGTAAAGCATTTAGAACAATGCTAAACACTCAATAATTATTAGTTAATAATAATAATAACTTTGAACTGGTTCTGTAGTGAAGACTAAACACTGTGAATAGAGCACACTAAAAATAATAATTATAATAATTGCATAAATAAAAATCATAAGTAACAATTATTTATCTAAACTGGCAAGTTTAAACATTTTATTCTCTACTAAGGAAATCTTTCAAAGATATTACTAGAATGTTAGATTTTAAAAAAAGCTGGGTTCCAGCCTCAAAGTTCCATCTGAAGTCACATCACATAAAAGGTCAAACACAACACATAGAAATCTAGAACACCAAGTGCATAGTTTAGGTTCATGCATTCATGGTATCTATCTGTGGAGAGAACGGCTAGAAAGCATGGTCTGGTTGACTATCTACCCCTCAGCCCAGGAAATGATGGGCTGGTGCTTCCTAAGGAGTCGTTTCTCTGGGCCGGGATTTCCATGTGCACAGGTTGTGGAGTGGTGCTCCTTGCTAAAAAGTCCCCCGGATTCTGTGTCCTGTCTCATCCCATTCGCCATCCAGTTCCCACCCAAGTGAAAGGTGCTGCATGTCACCCGTATGAATATATAAGGAAATGTTCTCTGTGGACAAGAGTTCACTGGAGTAAACTAATAAATATTCCAATGTTTACAGCCCTAAATTCCTTTGAGAAAGAATGCATTCAGGAAGTTCAAAGTTGGGGAACTAAAGGAATTGCCCATCAGAATAATGAGACTATTTTCGAGTTCCTTAGCAATGCTGAGCTTAGAAATAAATAGTGGGAAAGATATGAGAGCACAAAAAATAAATGAAAAATGTGAAGTAGTAGATTTCCTCCTGAAAAAAAAGAAACATTTTATGAAATCATAAAGGAAAAATTCTTATCTAGGAAATAAAAAGCATAATTGTAATTCTTTAATCTATTTGTTTTAAATCTTAAAAGAACAACAACAACTTCTTCAGAGTGGGAAAAGTGTCATTCTTAGTTGCAGTTCCTATTTGAAAAGCATTTTACACAATTTTTTAAATTGATTTTTGTTGTCTTAGGTCAAGGGTTCCATAAAAATAAAGAAATTATATATTCTTCTTATAAACATTACATGTACATATAGGTTCATATATGTCCATTATGCTGAACATTAAAATGTAAACATGTAACCTTTTCTCATTTGGTCAAATGCCACATAAATATCAGTGTCTAACTCCTCAATTCTGCATGAAAACAAAGGCATTGTATTGTTGTTAATTTGCAACATTATGCTATTTTATAGTGCATTTCACTCAAGCACAGAAGATATTTTATATTTATTTTTAATCTTCTTTATTGATTAAGATATTACATATATGTCCTTATCCCCCCTCTTTACCCCCCCCCCCCATGCCCTCACCTCTCTGGTGTCTGTGTCCATTGGTTAGGCCTATATGCATGCATACAAGTCCTTTGGTTGATCTCTCCCCCTTATCCCCACCCTCCCCTAGCTTCCCTCTGAGGTTTGACGGTCTGATCAATGCTTCTCTGTCTCTAAATTGCACAGAAGATATTTTAAAATGCTTGGCAGAGATGGGTAGTTATCTACATTTCTCTGCAACTATATCTTTAAATCTAAGATTTGGCACAGGCCTGTGAACATCTGACAACTGCTTATCTCTCCTTCCAGAACATCCTTTCAACAGTCGGAACTCATTAATGAAGCTGTACCAGCATACCACATTCTTGTACTTACTTGCATAATTATATTTTCTACTGAACAAGAATCTGTTTTCTTGATTTCTATAGCTACAAATCCCAAACTTTAAGACTTTTGTTTTTCAGGATATATGTGCTGATTTTTATAACAACACCAACAAAAATGAGTAAAGGGAAATGCAGTTGGAAACATTTACTGATTCTAAAAATCCTTTCTATATTTTGTAAAGCTTTGGCTAAAAACTAACATTAGGAATTTCAAGTAAATGTTTCTATGGCCAAAGAAAATAGATAAGGAAATAGAGGCTAGTGTCTAGAATAATATATTTTCCCCCCTCTTATTGCATTTAGCATTGTCTCAGTAATCTCACTTTATTAAAGACTTTATTTCAGAAAATGATGGACCAAAGTACAAAGGCAAAACATATCCCAGCCCCCACCAAAGGACGCAGTGAGGAACAACTTCAAGGTGAAGGCAAGGTATGGTTTTGGAGTCACCCCTGACACGCCCTGAATGGTCTTGAGCAGGTCACCTGCTCTTAGCTTTAGCTCCTTTCCTGTAAAATGGTAATGAAACTATTGTGTGTAAAATGTGGTGCTTGGCACATGGTATTGATGCTGTTGTAATAACCTGGTTGTTAGTTACAGGAAAGGAGCAAGAGAAGACCAAATAGTAGAGGCAGGCCATTTGTACAGCTTTGCAAAAAAGCTACATTTAACACATTGTATGCGGGAAACGTATTTATACGTTTTACTTATACGTTTTACGTTGACTGGTAGTAGAGCGCGGGACACGTATTAATACGTTTTTTATAGACTAGCGGTAGAATGCGGGTAACGTATAAATACGTAAACTAAAGTTATGGTAATTTTACTGAACGTTGTCATTTGCGCAAAAAATTAGCAAAAATGGCCCACATCACCTGTTAGCGCGCGCGATAAAAACTACCCGCAAACAAATGTTAACACTCTCCACGTCTGTTCCCCGCTGATCGATGGGGAAGGGACTGGACAAAGGCAGTTTAGACACATGCCCAGTAAGGTCCACGTGATGTGCAAAGGTGCCTACCTGTCTGCCAGTCACACCTGGGAACAAATGAGTGGCCACAAATGGGTGTGGCCACTGCAAATACATGAAACCTGAATATTGAAAACTTCCTAACACAGGAAGCTCCTGCTCTCCCCTCTTACTCTTCTCCCTCTCGTGCACCAGGTTCCTGGCTCTCCTGTGGCAAGGGGGTGTGCTCCCCTGCACCCACCTAGGGCACGGCCAGGTGGGCCTCCACACATGGACTAACGGACTTTAATCAGCTTGGATTCCGAACCACATCAGCTGCAACATGGCACGGGAACTCTGGACACTGGCCTTGCTGCTGGTTCTGCTGGAACCCAGCCTCACCTTTCCCAGGACTGGCTTAGGGGCAAGGGATTTTGGAAACTAGGAAATGTAACTTCACACCACATCCCATCCTGCCATCCAAATCTTAGAAAATTCCTTTTCTGAAGATATGGCAAGAACCTCACTCCCACGAGCGACCAGGGAGTTTAATTCTCTGGTAGTGGTATGAGTTGAAAAAGAAAAGGGAGAATAAAAAGGAAGAGAGGGAAGGAGAAGGAAAGGAAGGCACGGCTCCCACCATAGTAGAGGAGAGTGTCCAGCTTTGTGTGATTTGACTGGACTCAAATCCTCGAGATCTTGTTCTTTGATAAACCCGTCCTGCTGCAAGCACAAAAAAAATAAAAATGAAATATAGAAAGAAAATACATAGTTGGGATTAAAAGCAAGATAAACTTTGCCTGGGCCAAAGTGAGCAGAAACAAACGCAATGAGCAGGACTCTAAATTCTGTGGGAGGCGGGGCCAGACAGGAGGTTAGCTCCTTCAGAATAAAATCCTGCCCATAAAATGGTAGCGCTTGAAACTAGGGTCTGGCGGCCAGTTTTATAAAAATTTTTAAAAGGTCAAATTGCCACCTCTGAGAGGAAAATATCTGAAAAGTCACAAGTAATTAATG